CGGCGGCGGCTCGGACGAGGCGGTGCCGGGCGCCCCGCTGTCCCCTCTGGCTGCGCGCCTGGCTTCCGCAGCGCCGGCAGCCCGCCCGGCTCTGAGCGTCAGGCGCGCCGCGCGTGACAGCGATCGCGCAGCTGGTCAGAAAACCGCGTCCTCGTGTTTTGAGTTTAACAGTGCATTATGTTCCCTCCCTGTCGCCCTTGTCTTAAGGGAGCGGCTGCCCGAGTCCTCTATGTCGGTAGCCGGGTCAGGGCGGGCAGAGACCTGGGCCAGTCCAGCAGTGGGATGTGCAGGGGTAAAGCTGGGCTGGAGAGCCAGTGGAGAACCAGGGTGAGTGTGGTTGGCACAAAATTATTGTCAGAATTATTTTTCCTTTAGCTTTCTGACTATACAAAACATGATGAACGGGATTATGAAGAGAGTTGGGCCTGTCTGTCCTCGTACTTAGAAAAAGCATGTCTAACTAGTTGCTGAATGGTTACTGGCTTACTGAAGTCACTCTCAGGCACCAAAAGCAAGTTTCTAAGCAATTCTCTTGATTGTGTTTACAGTTTAGAGGTTTTAATATTTCTCAGTTTCCAATATTTTCCACTGCTAAAGGAAGAAAGTACACTAATTTCTGTATTTCTACATTTGTATGCTTGATTTCTAGGAAATAAGCATTCAGCTTCTCTGAAGAATGAAGATGCTGCTCAAAGGTATAATTCCTAACAATATGTGGCATTCATGTTGTTTTGTCTCACTTTGAAATCGCATTCTCTGCCTCTCATGTTTTTTTGCTTTCTCAGAGGAGATTGCCAGCAGCAACATGATGCAGGCTTATTTGGAGTGATGCTGTGTAACTTCTAACATGCGCATGTATATATGCGCATTGTAAAATATGCAAAAAGTTTATGAATCTAACCTCCGCAGGTGTATTTCCTTACTCTATAGTGCTTGCTTTTTGCCATCTTAATTTCTTTCCATACCTGCCATTTTTCTTTATTCACTTTAAAAACCAAACTTGAGAGGAAAAACCACTTTCTGCCATGGACAATTACCTGAATATTCATTTGATTCTGTAGTAGAGCTAGACTTCCAGGTGAATAGCGTAGACCTCTATAAGTTAAGACAGCAGAATGACTGTACATTGACAGCCTCTGTGGGAAGCATTGCCAAATGGAGATTGGAGACACCTAGATGGTTGCTCTCTGGGTATTTGCTGACAATAGAATAGTGGTGAGACTCAGGAACACTCAGGAAATATACTGTAGTGGGATTTATTCGATTTATTCCTTCCTTTACTTTGTAGCCTCACACTCAGTCTTGTCCCAGTCCTTTTTTCTTCCTCCTCTTCATGTCTCATCCAGCTCCCATTCTCCTGGCAACACTCAATAAATTGTTTGTCACAGGCTGTTTGTCCAGCCAGTTCTGGGTTTTCCTCTCTTGCAAGAAGAGTTGGGTAACCTTGTATGGAAGTATCGCAATGCAATAAGAGTCAATACTTTTCCAGACCGGAGTGGAATTAAAGCAAACCAAGGCTGGAAACTCCTTTGTGGTTATTACAGAATTACTAGTCCAGTTACTTGTTACTTTGTTTGGCCAACATGGTGTGATGCAGAAAAATGTAAACTACTGTATTTCAGAAAAAAAGATAAAAATACAGTTGGAGAGTTGTTTATGGAAATCTGCCCTCTGTGTCTGTTCTATTACAGGAAAGCAGCTCTGGAAGCTGCTATGAGAAAGAAGATTGAATTTGAGAAAAAAGCATTGTGTATTGTTGAGCAGCTCCTGGAAGAGAACATTACTGAAGAGTTCCTTCTGAATTCTGTAGGTGTTGCAAGTTTTTATACTACTTTGTATCTTAGTGTTCAACTTTTTTTTTTTTTTTTTTAAAGTTCATGGAACAATTTGTTGCAGTTTAAAGTGGACAAACCATTTATTCCCTCTCCCATCAGCTCTCCTGATGATTGCCTTATTTTCAAGGGTTCTGCGGTGAAAACATGCCCTAGTTTTGCAGGACCGTGTGCATTATGAATCCTCACATTACCACAGCCTTTGTTTATGCCTCTGTGGTTCTGGACTGATAGATGAAGTATAAAAATTTAGGTCTACATCACATTATCTCTGAATTTAGACAAAGCCTCTGTAATACACCACAGTTTATCTGGCAGCACAGTTCTGCTGGAACAGTGTGATGATTACTCCTCTTAAGGTTATAAATAGGCTGGTAAATAGGTGTACAAATCATGTAAATAGAGGAAGATTATGAAAATCGGTGCCATGCTAGAGGCAAAATTATGAAGCTCTTGTATATGTAAAAAGAAGTGCCCATGTCTTTCTTCTTTCCCTGTTTACCCTTTTACCATTTTTACTGTGTAGTTTCTAAATGCTGTTTATTAAACTTACTAGATAACTGTTACAAAATTAAAAATATTTATTTGCTTATGAAATGTTTCGAGTACGACAAATGACAGATTTTCCACTATCCAGTTATTGAACTATTTTCTTGTCATTTTAGGGAAAATTTATTACTCCATCTCACTATAAAGACATTGTTGATGAACGGTCTATCATCAAACTATGTGGTTATCCTCTATGTCCAAATAAACTGGAAAATGTAAGTTGCTTTTTATTAATGCTGTTACCATAAGAATCTCTTCACAATTTTTATTCTCTTGCATTTTCTTTTTAATTTTAAACTTAGAATATTAAACATAGATTAAAATACTGTCAAGTAATGGGCCAGGCATCATATCATTCCATTTCAGTATAATCCTTCTGAAGTAAAAGGTAAAATTTGATCAGTTGACCACCATTAATGTATGACAGAATCAGTTAGCATCTACTTTGACAGTAATAAAGATGAAGTATGGCTTCATGGCCTTCCTTTGTGCATGCAGAAGCTTTCTAACTTTGTTCCCTCTTCAGTGTAACCACATATCTCTGAGAAGGATTGAAGTGAAAAAATAATACAATGCAGGGATATTACTATGCGAATGCATATGCATCTGCTCTAAAAATGTATGTTACCTGCTTCAAAGTCATAGTCACACTTATTTAGGTATGTTATGTCAGAGCTTAAGCAGATAACCTTAAGTTAGATCACCTGTGATGTAATACCAGTTGTGGTACACCTGATTATCTGAAAAAAATCTACTCAAGTACAAAAAATTTTACTGTTTTGAACTTCGTATGTCCCCACAGAAGTTCACACAGAAACTGTATTATATTTTATGTAAGTTCCTCTCTGGGTTTGTCTGGGTAGTGGTGAGGGTCTCTGACAGTACAGTCTCACATGCATATAAATCAATATGGATTAAAGAAGGACCTGTCTGTAATTGCGCAACACTTTTACGTACTTATACGTGGAGGAGTTTCTACCATGGCAACTCCATTGTTTTATGTTCAGCACTGGCTTTCTTGTAGATCTGAAGTTGTCCTCTACTGATAGTGAGATGTAAATGATTAAAGATAAATTGGCATTCTTACATCTGAGAAGGTACAATATCAAAAGAACTGAGAGAAAAGGTGGTTGTAGTATGCAATTAATTTAAAACAGAACATATTATACCAATTAAAATATGTGAATTAAGAATGAAATTTTATGTAAAGTCATGATGGAAGTAACAGTCTTGCTGATGAAAGCATATTGTTTTAGGTGCCAAAACAGAAATACAGAATTTCAACAAAAACGAACAGAGTTTATGATATCACTGAAAGAAAGGTATAGTAACAAATCTATTTCTCAAATGTGTTTAATATTATCTCAACATCAGAAATGCATTTTGTAACAGCATTCATATAGTGGCTTGATTCAGAGCCAGGATGTTTGGTTCTTATGAAAATAATTTTTGTGAACTGTTAGAATATGAAGTTTTTTGTGCATTTCAGTTTCTAGATGCTCTTCAGAAAGACAACCACTTATTTTCTTTTCTAAATTTAAACATAACATGGAAAGTTTTACTTGGATAGCAGTTTGAATGTGGTACAGCTGATCCATTAAAGACATTTGTGAAGAAGTGTTCTCTATTTTGCTGCAGTATAGTCAATGAGCTTTAGGGTCAAAGTGCACATCCTTTTCATTCACTGAAGTCTGCAGTACTGTAATAGAAGTTGCATCTTATGCATTCTTTAGTGTGACTACCTTTAGGGTTCTTCTTTGAGGACTTTTCAACATAAAACCTATCTCTTCACAAAGTCTGTTTCTTTCTTGAAGCATATTCATGAGTGTGGTTGCGTAAAAGTCGTCTTTGCCTGCTCACAGTATATGCAATCACCTACAGGTGCTTAGACGCTAAATTGTAGGATAAATGTTTGTAGTTCCATAACAAATTTCTTCAACAAATTACTTCAATGCTAGTATACATTCCTTTCGTCTGGTTACAACTGTAGGATACACAAAATTCTGGAAATTGCTTTTACCAGGTAAGACTCCAAGAAGGAGTGGGATATTTTGTCTTGTTCCGTGATGCAAGTGTGCAAGTTATTTTTTCAAGATGCTACAAAATTTTAGGTGGTGTTCTGAGTATTGCAAAATATCCAAGTTCTGTTGCTAACAAAAATTTTCATTATTAAATAATTTTATTGCATGTCTTTTAAACTGTATGACCATCTTGTTGGGTTAGGGATTGCTCTTTGAACAGTTCTGGGTTTTGTTGGTTTGGGTTTTTTTAAATTATTGTTAAGTAGAATCCAACACTGGTTTACTTCTTAGTATGTAATAAAAGTGCAAAAAGCAGAAAAGTGGGGAAAAAAGAAGCAGCTATAAGTGGCTTGTGGGGAATGGGATGGACCTATTTGATAGGTTTGGTGTCTCAGGTGAATTAAAAACCTGGTCATAGGCTTAAAAAGAAAAATTAATTGGTACTTAATTTTACGGGCATAAGAAACAATGACTTTTGTACCTTTTTGTGAGTACTAAAGTTGTCTTTAGTCATATTTTCTTGCTTTCTATCTCATTTCCAGTGCTTTTGCAGCAACTTTTGCTATAGAGCATCTAAATACTTTGAAGCTCAAATTTCCAAAAGTCCAGTATGGATGCGAGAAGAAGAAAAGTAAGTATAATCTTATACATTCATTGCTCCTTTTGAGAATATTATTTTCTCTATCCAAGCTGCAATGCTAATTAATTAGCTGCAGTACATCAAAATCATTCAGCTGAAGCAGAGGTAACTGATATTAACATGTTAGCTTAGCATGGTGTTCGTTTTAAAAAGTGTTCTTGCCATATTGATTACAATAATTGACATGAGTCAGTACTACTCATGACTACTTAGTAGACATGACCATGATAATTTAGGGGGCAGACTAGTCATAAATAATAGTCAACTCCTATTAACTTTAAAATGTACTTATTAGGACTGGATTTTTACAAACCATATAATGTACAGGATGAATTCATCCTGTTACAAGAGATTTGCTAATTTTAGCACAGCACTTGGCATTGGTCTTAAGGCTAGACTGTGAATGTTTGCACCTGAACTATACTGACTATAACATGAAGAGATTCTTTATCCTGTCTAAATTTCAGATTGCCCATTTCCTGTTGTTACTGCAATACGCATTTTGGAACAGTGTGATGCAGCCCATGTTCCTAGCTTAGGAAACGTAGGCTTGCAAATAATGAATTGAGCCAATGGGTGTCACTGTTTAACAATAAATACTTGCCTAGAGACTGTTCAGCTGAATTTATTCAGCTTTTGTTGTCCAAGACACTACTTTTCATAGTCTCCTGGTTTTCAACAAAAGGAACTAGCTGAAATTACATGTGTGAGCTCATTTTCACAGTTCAGATCAGTCATGTGAAATACCTGGTCAATGAGAGAAGAGATTTAGAGCAGCCTGATCTGGTCTGAGGGATTCTAGTAGGTAAAACTAGTCTCTCCATTAAATGTTTAAGTAAGTTTACCAGTATTTTCGTGCTATTGTTTTGCTGTCTTTAAAGAAAGTATTTCTAAATTCTCCCTTTATTCTTAACATCGAAAGTGTATAGTTCTGATATGCCTGACGTAGTTAATTATTTATGCTGTGTGGTGGTGGAGAGGCGGTATTTTCAAAAAAAAAAACAAACAAAACCCCAGATAGTTTATGGCTAGGTATATCTGTTTGAACAGCCACATACATGTGTACACACTGATACATGCTTACACATTAGGATAGCTGAAATTATTTCGAAACAAAAGAGTACAACCTTCACTTAAAACTCTGAAGAAGAGTTATACGGAGTTAATAATTTAAATCATTGTATGTTATCACCTTTAGTTCCCAGACTCAATTCATTCATATGAGTGGTGCAGCTTTCATCTTTTTAAACCTGTGGGTTTTTTTATACACTGTCTGAGAGGTGTTAGTGCATTGACTTGGATTTAGTGCATGCTTAAAAGGTTTTCTTTCATTCATAGGACAGGTGGGTGAGGATTTCAACATTTAGCATTGGATAAAATGAATAGCATTGTGGTGCTGTCTCATAACTGAATTGAAGCAGATTAACTGCAAGTAGAGCTTTGGCAAGAAACCCATCAGAATTTGTTCAGTAATGTTTCTTAGAGTTTCTGGAAACCTTTGAACTCCATTTTCTTAAAGCAGTATAACTTAAGCCTAATTTTTAACAAAGTAAAATTTTAAATAAGTAAAGATATCCTGAATATTGGGTTTGGTTTTGGGTTTTTTTTGCATTAATTTGGAACATTCTCCTATAAACAGCCCAGGATTTTTTTTACTATTGGAACTTTGTGACCTATGAGGATCTTAGCATGTTTACTTTGTTGAAGAAGAAACCAAAGGGTGATCTGAAAACAGTCTACAACTACTTGAAAAAAAGTTACAAAGATTACAGAGCCAAACTATTCATGGTTGATGGCAGAAAACTTAACAAGAGGTGATGGCCACTAATTATCACATGGATGGTTCAGGCTGGACATTAGGAAAAAAAATTGCACTAGGGTTATGGTGGAATGAAACGGGATACTCAACAATGTTTTGAAATCTCCATCTTTGGAGGTTTTCAAGATTTAAAATTCATGAATTTGTGGCTGACCTGATCTAGTGCTGGTGACAATTGCATTACAAGCAGGAGGTGAGACTAGAGACTTCTGGAGGTCCTTTCTGACTTAACGTTTGTGTGACCTGTTGATTCTGTTAAATGTTGTTCAACGTAACAGCATTGTGCTGGAGGCATGAGTCACACTCTGTGAACACGTATGTATAAACCTGCTTTCGTTAATCCTGGTTTGAACAGCGGGGTTTGGACTAGAAGATCCTCAGATGTCCCTTCTAACCTCAAGTATGTATTTTCTGTATTAATGTGTATTTCAAGAGCATTGATTTAGCAGGAAAATCTTCATTCTGTGTCTTCTTTTTGCAGACCACCAGACATAGAGCTGCTGAAGGAGGGACAGAGGTACACTGAAAAATAATTTTTTTTGTTACATGCACTTATAGTTAGAAATATTAACATCATATCAGGTGAAAGGGGAATCTTTGATTTCCTGTGTTATAGAAAAGACCTTATTAGAACCTACACAAAGGGTTATTTGTCTTGTTTAGTTTTGTCCTTTGTGATTCTAAACCAGCATATTTGATCTGTATGATTTAGTGTACAGCTGCTCTTGGCCTGTATGTCTTAATTGAGCCTGTTGAAATCTGAAACAAATACACTGTTTGTACTTTGCATATTTTATACCATCTATTCATTATAAAGAAAATAGTACCAATTATATGTGATGAAAGCTTCTGTACTTCTTAATCTAAAACATCTATATCAGCTAAAATGAAATGCTACTCTGTCATCTCTCTGTACCTTGCTGTGTATTGTGACTTTTTGTTTGTTTTCTTTTGCAACACGTGGCCATTAGGTGGCAAACTTACATATGCTAAAAACAGCTCTGCTGTCCCCCTGATTTTAGGGTACAATATTCCCATATATGTTAAGATACCTATCTTAATTTTAAAATTGCACTATTCATCTTGCTAAGTCTGACATTATTCTGTTGTCTTTAATAATATCTTGTCTACTATTCTTTTCTAACTGCCAATAAGCAACTGAGAACTCACTTCTGTAAATAGCGTCTGTACTTGTCATTTTGACTGCAGAACATTACAACTCTGAGTTCAAGAAGACTTTTAGAAGAGCAGCTATGATTCTTAAAGCAAAAAAGTACACTTCTACTATAAGGGAAAAATGCTTTATTTATCTTTCTCGCACGAGAATGAAAAGCTATTACAGGTAAGGCCCATTTCTTATTTCATTGATGGCTTGTGTTTTCTGTTACAGTGGACAGTCTGGAGAAGAGGTGAAACTACGTGATGAAGTAATTAAAACATCTGACATTGAAAATCCTAGGACATCTTCAAATCCATGTGAATCTGGTTCTCATGACACAGCCACTGACAGCAGTAGTGATACTGAACAAGAATTTGTTTCTTCTGTCCTACCAGGAAGTCAGTCAAGTTCAGCCAGTTTTGCACAGCAATTGCACAGAAGCATCATCCTCAAAAAGAAGCATGCTCTGAAAGTCTATTCCAGCCCTAAAACTGAAGACTCAGATGTGATAGAAGCCACTGAACGACTGTCTAATTGTACATTAGATGCTCAGGAAGAAATGCATTCTGGCTCTGTTCATAATAAAATAACTGCACAGCCTTCAAAAAATACTACTCTAGGGAAATCAAGTGCTCCAGAAAACTATGAAAATACCTGTGGTTCACAGATAGTTTTTCTAGGTGTGAGCAAAAGAGGCGCAGAACATCTTAAAAGAACACTAGCTAACTCAAAAGAACATCAAAAACCTGAACTGAGGCATCCAGTTAATTCCAAAGGCAGTTTGTTAGAAGTGCTTAAGAAAACACTTACAGAATGGAGAACTGAGGAAACTTTAAAATTTCTCTATGGCCCAAACTATACTTCTTTGTGTTCATCAGAGTGCATATCATCTGCCAACCAGGAGAATGAAGAACTTGATGAGGATGACTTAGATACAGCTGATGATCTTAACACTGTTGCTATAGGGGAGTCTGAAAACAGTTTGAACTATTCTTTACCTTTCACAGGCCCAGGTGGAATAGTTAAGCCTGTGCCTAGCTACGAAAAGTTAAAAGAAGAAACAGAGTTCCTAGAACTCCGAGTAAAAGAGTTCTATAAAGGAAAGTGCATCTTGGCTGAAGAGGCGGTGACACATGCGCAAGCAGAGGAACATCCAAACAAAGACAAAGTAAGTGTCCACTGGAATAGTGTCGAGGCTGTATAAAGCCTGCCTTCAGAGAATTATTACAAGCTCTTTGTTTCTGTCATCATAAGTGAGTAAGTATCTAGCATAGGGAAGGGGAAAAGTAGGTTAGCTGCACACTGTATGTTGGGTCAGATTGAGCAAGCTTCTGTCCATTAAGAAATTACTGGTTGGGTTTTTTTTCTATTCAGAGAGAAGAGTTTTCTTATGTTTAAACATTTATTGATGAGCTGTGACTATTTTGATGCATTGACTTTTAATTAAATACTAGGTTATAGCTGTTAAAAGTTTTTTGTCTAATACAGGATGATCAACAGGAAGATCTCACCTTCCCACTTGTTGATTCAAATGCACAAATGCAGATTAGAAAGCGAATCGTCCTTGAAAAACTGAGAAAAGTGTAAGTATCCTTTACTTTGGTAAAAGTCAAGCAGAAGTTGATGCTCATTCGTTATTATTTTAAGTAAGACACTGTCCAAGGACATTCTGGCTTTTTCTAGGTGGCCTTATTCATAACTTACACCTGTTACTGCCCTAAAGAACTTAATTATTTCTGAGACAGTCATCTGCAGTCCAGTTGCAGATGTCAGTTTGCACAGCCTGCTGAGGTAGATGTCAGAACCTCACTACTAAGGTCTTCTCTAGAAGAAAGCTGTCCCCTTCCTACAAGCATTGAAGCTTGTAGTTGACAGCATTCCAGGCTGGCATGGCAGCATGTTCCCACTCTTCAGTAGTTGGCAGAAGTCAGCACAATTGTGCCATTACACTGAAAATTTCTATGGTTTTTGGATCTAAATGTTGGTATAACACATGGAGCTTAAAATGAGAATATGTGCTTAAAAAAAAAAAAAATTCCACAGCAAACTCTTTCATTATCATCATCCTTTCCCTCAGTTATCTGGAAATAATCTAAGCTATTTGGATTCTTGTAAGTTGTCTAAAAGCAGATTCTGATGTACATAAAATATGAAATATTTAACTAGCTCTATATACCAACTTCTCAAGTCTAAACTGAAAAACTTGAAGTTGATTGGGAGGAGTGCAAATATTTGTCCTGTATATTAAGCATACTGCTACTGGTAAACAAATTACACAGAAAGAAGCTGTGTTTTCAGACCTCTTAACAGTTTAAGCAAAGGTCTTATTAAAAGAGTTTCTAGTCCATGTTTGGATGGCTGGTATCAGTATGCCTCTAGCTACAACCATATAAGGCCCTCAGAATTGAATCTTAAAACTTTTCAAACACCAGACCTTTTTCACATACATAAAAGGGCTTTGGAGTCCCAGAAAAGAGATTAAGGCATCTCTGCTGTACCTGTTAAAATTATTAAATTGTCAAAGTTGGGAGGACCTTGAAAATACTCCTGTTGTCAAGGCAGTGCAGATAAACGAGGGTTTGAAGGCCATGATTGTGGTGTTTTTGTCAGAGGTATTTTGGTTTTATATGGTTGTAGTTTGTTTTAGCTAGCCAAACTAGTTTTTGCAGAATCTTTTTTAACTAAAAACCCCCACAACTGAAACTCCCCCAAAACCCAAAAAAACCACTCCATTCTGCTTCTCTCTACCTGCAACAGGCCTGAGACAGGCCACAAACATGGAATCAAACCATGCTGCAAGAAAGGTGGCTATCTCTGATCTTTCTGTAAGTGTCAACGTTACACAGAGTCCAAGGAATACTACTGTATGGTAAAGCAGTTTCTCTGCTGCTTCGAATTTTTCCACAAGTTTGTCAGTCATTTTCAGCTTCTAGCAAAATTTCTGTTGAACTTAAAAGTAAGGTACTCCATGAATAGAGGATAAGAAAGACCGAATTTTTTTTTTCTTTGTTTCTTCGGAGGTTTTGTTCTGGACTGTCCCCTTCTTTAGTTGATCATTTTAAATTTCATGAGGTGATGCAGTAGTCATGTCGCACTGAAGTAAGAGAGACAATTTTCATTTTGATAAAGCAATGACTTCTTAGTGTGTTCACATGAAGTCAGCAGGAATATAAGTATGCCCAACATCATAAGAGTCCTGTGTTCAGTTTTTGTAAAACATGCAGCGATGTAAAGGAGAATAGAAATCTTGATTTTTCCAGCAATATTGATGCACCATGCATATAAATGTAAATAACTGGATATTCAAATGCAAGAGGATATTAACTATTAAACCACTAAAGAGAGGCAAAAGTTAAATCCCAAATGTGAAAAACAATGCATGTTATTTCCAGCATTTTGGGGATACTGACAACTAGTTAAACAGTATGTATGGTTTGTTGTGTGCTTCAATTTTTACGCAGTCAAGTAGGGAGGAAATCTGTCTTTTTTTTTTTTTTTTTTTTTCTCTTTTGAAATTTTCTAATTACCCTACTATCATCTTAATTCCAACTGTCAGGCTTGCAGTGGAATGTTATTTCTGTTGCATCTATGTGAGTCTGAGGTTAGCAGATACATTCTCTGTGCAAACCTCATTTAGACATGTAGTTTCCTTTTATATTGTTATTTTTGAACCAGGTAAATAGAAATATTTGAAACATTTATGAGGCCTGGAATTCTAATCCTCGTAGTGTAAACACTTTGATGATGAATGTCTTGTCAGAACTGAAATGTGAAGTTGATAAGAGTATGCATGTACAACTACATTTCATTTCTTCTTCACACTGAACTAGAGCTGCTTATTTTTAAAAACAAGCTGTCGTAAAGTGAAGGTGTTGCCCAAACACCACTCAGAGGAATCTGAAATGTAAACTGCTGGCCTGATCTGCTACACAAAAATCAATCTCTTTTTATTAACTTCCGTGAGCTTTGGTGGAAGTCCTACTTCAGATGAGAAAGAGAGGAAAATGTATATTGACCAGTGTCTTTTGCATTCTAGATTACCTGCAGTTTTGGGCCCTCTTCAGATTACTCCAGGTGATGTTTACACAGAGCTAAAAAACCTTGTCAAAACTTTCCAGTGAGTATTGGTCTTTATTTAGAGATTCTTCTTGATTGATTAATTAATCAATGCTGTTGAATGATTTGTGGTTTGGGCACAGAGAGTGCCCCATTGCAGATTTGCCCTTTTCTAGCTGTGTGTTCATGTAGGTAATGTCACATTCCCTGTGGACTAACAAGTCAACCCTTTCCCTGCTCCTGACAGTGGCTAGGTCACCAGGAGTATTTGTAGATTTTTAAAAACTAGGCCAGTGGTCTCTGGAGGAGGATGGTGAGTCTTTTAAAGGTTCTGCTACCTCGTCACCTCCTATTAAGCCTGAGTTTCTGAGATCTGTCACTTTCTTTTGCTCTGGCTCCCTACAGCCAGGCTAAATGGTTTTAATGTGATTAATAGTTGTTACCACTAACTTCTAGAGCCAGGAAGAAGGTCCAGTTTGACCTGTCTTGTTCCCAATTTCAAGGGCAAGTAGATCTAGCGGACACTTCATCACCACAAATGAAGCTTCTGCTTCAGTCAGAAGCACTAAAGGAAGTATTTGGAAACACTAGGATAAAGAAGAAGGGAAAACAGAATGGTTGTAACTCTGAATATTTTTCACTTTTCTTTGGGACACAACTCTCATAACTTGGACTAACTCATAGTCATGTCCTGCATCTTGAAGTATTGTCAGGAAAAGGAGCAACAACGGTTTCTAGCTCTGTGTATGTTTTCGCTCTTGAAATTCCCCCCACACACACATCCCCAACCTGCATGAGATTTACATGTAAATTTTCCAAATTTCATTTATGTGGCGTTTGCCACAAGGAATCTAGGCTCTGGTGAATAGAAACCCAGCTCTACCTGATTCCTTATGATTTATCTCATGCCTGGAAGGACACCACTAAAACACAGATCTCTATAAGCAGGATTTTTTACTACGAAAGATACTCTTCCTTTCTGGTGACTCTGTGCATGATCTTTTTTATTTAACAGAATTATTAGTGTTTGAACATGATTCTGTAGTTGCAGTCTTTTAAGTTGTGATTAATCTTTTATTTTAACAACAACAATGAAACCAGGGAAGATGTTTTTGGTTATATTGGAGCAGCAGGTATATGCTGTATGTGTAGCTACTATTAAAAAAGATCTTTGTGCCTTAAAACAGTTTTGTTGCTCTGCAGTCTGAATGCCTAATAGTCAATTTAGCTTTTGGATTGATAGAACTGGAAAAACTACATTTGGTCTCTTTCAATCTACTTTTGTACGGTTGATTATGTAAGAAGTCCTGGAGGTTCTCAAAGGCAGAACTTCTACTTTAAATTATTTTTGCTATTCAAAAACAATGTGGCCTGAATATGAAGTTTTAAAAGTGGTTTATAGCAAAGGAGCCTTGAAGCCAAAATGGACTTCTAAAAACATATATATGTATATATCTGTGGATTTACAGAATGGAACCAAGTCTAATTAACTTGGACTTTGATCCCAATACCTGGCTCCTGTAGCAATATTTTTAAAGTCTCCCCGATCTATTTCTGATGCCTCAGGTAACACTTCATGAGTTTATTTTTAAGTCTTTTTTGTTAGGAAGTAAGTTGAAGGTAATGGTAGCAAGTTCTTGGGGCTCTCTTAGTGTGAAGATTCCAGATAAATTGCTTTGAAATTCAGTATTTTGGGCGGAGGATGGTTGAAGACAATTATGGGCACTACACAAGAATTTTTAAGTACCTTTATATATATATATCTCTCAAAATAAATGGAGTTTTATTGTCACTGATAGTCAAACAATACAAAAATACAGGAGATGATAGGGAAGCAATAGAAACCTTTGGGCCCTTACTCCTTCTTGCATTTCTGATACGGAAGGGTCTGTTGATACACAAAAGCTAGCTCATGGATATTAAGATGAAGGCATAGGTTTGAATCTCCAGTTCTGTATGTAGGTTTGAATTCACTTAGTATGAGTGGTCTCTCTGATTTTAGGTTAGATGCTTTGGCAGGGGGACCTGGGATAAATTTTAAACGGTATTTATGTTTGCAGGGTATAGAAATTTAAACGTTACTTTCTTTGTTAATGTAATTAAAATGCTTAATGACTATGGAGGGAGCACTGACAAATGCTAGTGCTCTTTCCTGCTTTTTGTACTGGAAATATTTCAGGCTGAAGAACTTGCCAAAGAGGGTAGGAGATAAAACACATGGCTGTAGTAGAGCTTAGCTGGAGAAGGGTAAAAGAGCATGTGGTGAACTAAGCAACAACGATTTTCAGCTCCATTGGTTTTTTAAAGGAACACTTGCAATTCAGCCTCCTTTGGGCAGCATTTTTATTCAATCACCACTGCTGGGAAACACACTAGAGGGATCTCAAGAGACATTTTAGAATGGTTAGAGCTCTTCCCAAACAAAGTCCCTCAGTGCCTGTAAGCTTTTGTTACGAAAACTGAGATGTCAAATAATTCTCCAGAGTGTGTAAAGGCACTTTGTTAAAAGAACAAGAGAAAATTAGCTATTTATATATAAATCGAGGCTAAATGATTAAGTTTGTGAATGTATGGTTGTGGGGTTTTTTAAACATAATATTCCATACTGAATATAGAATTTCATCTGAATGTTGTGGTTGCAAGTATTTTAATTCCTTTTATGGAGCTTATCGTTGACATTGAACTCTGTCATTGAATATGATACAGTTGTTTCCTAAAGATGTGTTCAAGGCTTTTTTTTACAGGTTTGTCTTACCTTGTTTCCAAGAATATTTTAGCTTTTAAATATGTATCGTGAGTGTATGTTATCTAGTGTATATGCTTGCTAATAAGCTTTTACCTATTACCCTTGTTAAGTGGAATTTTAGGTTCTGGATTTCAAGTCAATCAGCAATACTTTGTCATAGACAAGGTTATGTACAGAAATGTGTAAGTACCAGAATGTTAATGACCTTTTCTCAAGTAAATGGGCTTCTCTTGAAGAGACCCTAAAGTTATAATAGTAACTCATCAAACTAAATTATATTACAGTGCATAAATATGTTGCTCTTTTTCAGGGGGTAGAGAAGCTGTCTTTTATGGTTAAATTGGTCTCATTGAAGCCTGAAGAAAAATGATCTGTGCTTTAGTATTTGCCTGTGCTGACCTGGGTTAGTTAAACTTTGCTCATCTTAGTGCAAGTTTTGGAAAAACTGTAGATAGCTGGGGTCCCCGAAAGCCACAACTTTACGTCCTAATCCCATGAAGTCAGCTTTCTGCATTACAGAATAGGCAAATGGCCAAACTTAACAGGTCAGATTCTTGAACTGAAGTTACATATGCCTACTCCTGGGAATCTCGATGTGTGAACAAAAAAGCTGCTTCATTTGCAAAGATGCTAATGACTTCACTTTGCAACAAAGATAAATTGTAAAATGAAAAAAAGAAACAAAGAAAATCTTCTCCATTTGGGGCACATTTTTTTCTTTTTCTCCCAGTGTAAGAACATGGACATACTAGGTAAAACTGAAAGACAGCAAGCATGGACCTATTCAAAGGAATGTTTATTTCACCAAATGTACATTTAGTACCAATAACTCATAGCTACTAAGTTATTAGTCAAATTCATAGCAACATGTTAAAAATTGAGCTCATAGATGACAATTATATTCTCATTGTAAGGATAAACAAACTTCTAGAAAAGGAAATAACACTCAAGTCTATAATTTATCAATAGGTATAAAGAAAAATATAATTTTAAAAGATTGTTTTATATTAACCAGTTACATTTACTTGCATCGTGTTCATAGTATCCGATGCTAGGGGTCTATTAGGGGATTACTATTTAGCATAATAATCCTGGCGTCCATCTGCCATTCCCTGTTGGACTTTTATCAAATTGTTTCCTAGAAATCCCAGGAAATGTAATCCTGCTGAGGAAAGGGTGGTGAGCTCCTGCATTGCTGAGTTTCTTTCCTATAACTTCAAGTCTGTTGCAGTCCCTGTCCCAGTTCTTGCACAGGTACCTAAGGGATGTGCTTAAATCGGCTGCCACAGCAGGCACTGTTTACAAATCAGGCCATCATTTGCTAATGGAGTTCTGCTAGCAAAATTTACAGCTGATGGTAATTAAATGGGAAGATAACTAGAGGAAAAGAAGTAGAACCAACTGTGTATGGTCTTTTGCTGTCATTTTTGGGTTTACTTTTTTTATTTACTGGTTACTTTAACCTTGGACTCCCCTGTATTCCTACAACTTCACTATCAGAGTTCACTTTCTTTGCAGGCTGGGCACTAGTCAGTTATTGGGAGGTCATTTGGGATGGAATTTTTATGCATCTTACTCTTTAGTCCTTTATCCTGTCAGCTTGTGCCGCTTGGATCCATCTGCTCAGTCTGAGCTCCTTCATAGAGTATTCAAACTCTGGCTGCCTACTAGATGGTGGAAGCAGTCCAGTCCAGCTGCAGTGCATCTTGCTGGGTTGAACCACAACATGCACAAGCTAGCAACTAAGCAACCCACGCAGCTGTTTGAGATCATCCAACTTTCTTGGCTTACCTATCCTGCCCCACAGAGGCCAAGAAAGTAGAGATGTTCTGTTTTGGACAGTTGCATATTGGGGTTTTTTTTTTCCTTTGGGTAGGTGAGGGAGAATTTATCCAAACTCTTTAACAGAAAATATTTCACTCTAAAACTCAAATCATGTATATGAAGTTTTGTATAGTTTTAACATTTCCACATTATATGTTTATGACAGAAATCTAGTGACCTCTCTCATGGATTGTTCTGAAGTTACAGTTTTGGCTAGAGGCAAGACAAAGAATTAATGAACCATTTTACAGAGGACTTGCACTTCCCTGTTTTCTGAAAGCTTTGCTCTTCAGAGGCCTTGGTGTTGACACACAGCTTGTTTTTGAAAGTGACTGCCCTTCCACTGCTCCTTATTATTTAAGGCTTCACACCTGTAGGTTGCTAGCTTTAGTCTGATCTGCCTGAAATGTTTTTTTTTTTTCAGCTGCACAAGTGTTTTAGGACAGGTGTTGTACTGAAAGGTTACTCATTGTGGAAGCCTGGCTGTTCATCCAGTCCAGTGACAGTAGTACATCAGCAGATCCATATTGCTGTATCCTGCTGGTTATCTGTGTCTTTTGACTACCTCCTTCATAAATAGCATATTGATGGCAATGACTAGTGTTCAGACCTTGCCAATCAATACTAACATTGAATAAGAGTTAATTGACACAAATAACTGCATCTCTCAGTTTGTGTACAAGAATGACACCTTCCTGTGCTCTAATCAATAATAACTCCTTGTAGAGCATTGAAATAAAGCTGCTTTCTCTATTTGACAGAGTTTTCCCAGGTGGCTTAGAGCTGTCTCTTCCATTGTGTCTCATCATAGCAGATTAACTGGAATGTTACGTATGAATTGCCTGTCAAGATGATTCCATCAGGCATTTGTTGGTAGTATTTACCACTGTCATCAGTGTTGAGTCAAGACGTTCAGTCTTTGTTTTGTCTCTTGTTCTAGAAAAATGTAACAGTTTACCAGGTACAAGCTTTGTTGCCAGCCATTTAAAATAGTAACTGGTAAACATGAATCTTTTAATAACAAAAATAATCTGTATTTGCTGGAACTATTGTTTCTAGTTTGACATGACAATTCCTGTATGTGTAGTACAAACCATTGCTTTTCCTTTCATCATTTAACAAAACTCAGGCTGTGGAGACACTATTTGAGTAATTATTGCTTCAAAATCTTATTTTGGTTGGAAGACTTGGAGATTTGAGGAGAAAAATAGGATAATATTGCTTTAATCATTACTATCCTTAAATAAAATTTAATTTAATTTTTAATATCTTTCTGAAATAGGGAAATGCAAAATGATCCTATAAAACATCTTATAACTACATTCTTAGTGACCATTTTGAATATAATTTTGGGCAACTAGTTAACAGAATTTTACTTTTAACAATTGCAAGTACAAATACAAATACTTCTGTATACTTGCCCAAAGAAATTTAAAAAAAAAAAAATCTTACTGAGGAAGAAAACCCTAGATTTGAATTTGTTGCCAGGTATTTAATTTTAAGCAACCTCCCATCTTCACCAGTGTGTGTAGAAGTGGGTATGAATGACAGGGTAGCTTCATTCTGGATCTGAATTTATACAAGTCTGCATAGAATGGAAGCTGAGAGCAAGAAGGGATCATCCCCCCAAACATAGGGAGGCACTTGCCCCTCAGTATTTCTGTTGGATGGTGCTGTCTGTCTGAATAACATTAATTCTGCTAGCCTTTTTGGGTGCCTGTATAGCCACAGCTTTGTTTTTAGCTGTGACTTTTCCATGAAATTGCTTGTCTTCAGCACCACGGGTCATGCCTAAATTCAGCCATATCAATTCATATATGAATTGTTTTAAGTCAGATTAACATGTGCCTTAAAGCAGATCTGGCTTATTACAAAGTTCAGCCAAATGGGTCAGCAGGTATAAAATGCAGCAGCACTTCTGTTTGAGCACCCATGTGGTTCTTGATTCACACCTCATTTTCTTGCTCTGATACCTGGACTGGGTCCCATGGCATAAATTAGAATTCCAAGTTTCCATCTTAAAAACAAGAATCATCAGAGGATTGTCTCCAGTATCTTATAAAATCCAGTCTGTTTCTGCAACATTAGCTTTTACAGCAAATCGGGATCTGAAGCCAACAGGGGAGAAACTAAGTGTAAGAAGGCCCATCTTTTCAGAAACGCATGTGCAGTTCCTGGGAATTTCCCAGTGGATATGAGTGAGAGCTGAGCCTTCACAGCAGCCAGGACTATTTGTGAGATAATTCAAAAAATTAGCTTCTGTTCAATCTTCCCCATCCCACTTTCATATAGAAAAAAGAGACATATTGGGAATTATGCAATTAGTCCATTACAGGATAAGATGAGAGAGAAGCCTGGAAGTTGGTGAATTGCTTAGATACAGCTGTAACTGCTACATTGTAACTCAGTGTATTAAGTCTTTCAATGGTAGACTTAAATCAAAATTCCGCAGTTAAAATCTGTTTAATTTTACTCAGAAACATTCTGATTTTTTTAATTATTATTATTATTTTTCAGGTTAACAAACAGAAATATTATTCACAAAATGCCTGAATGGACTCTAATTGCTATTGTTTTGTTATCTGTGTAAGTACCCTTTAATGTCAAATATTCTCATACACAACTGTCTTAACAAGCTTATCGAGACAAGATTTAATTTTCAGATAAAAGGAGGGAAAGATTTCTTTAAATTAGCTGGGGAATCAACAGAAATATTTTTTTCATGTAAATTAACTAAATTCTCTTGACAAAACAGTATTGTCCCACTTAAAACAACATGTTAACAATGGACAAACTTAATGTTCTGTTAAAAAAAGAAAAGTTAAGCTTTAGGGGTTTTTAAAGAGGGTTGGTGGGGTGAAGGAGGAGTATACTTCACTCTCTTCCATTTGCTGCTAACAGACATTCTTCCCCTCTCTGACAGTAGGACAAAATGACATTTGTATTATTTGGATTTGGCATAACTGTCACACTTTTAATTTCTCATTTTATTTCTAATTTCTTAAAAGATTTCATTTTCATTATTAAAGTCAAATTATTTCCATAAAGATATGGTGTGCTTCTTAATGTGTTCATTTGAATATTCTAGCAAACTTAACTTTGAGAGGGGAAAGCTTTCTTAGCAGCTCCCAAATTTCTGAAAGGAATATTGGGACCCAGTATTTTATTTTTATGAGGATTAGCTTTATTGCTTAAGATTATGATACTACAGTGCCTACAGTCCTTGTTAGCTGTTTTCTACTTACTGTGGAATTAAATTCTTTCCAAGGGTTTTCCTGATGGGAAGTCTGATTTTATTATAGTGTCTTTCAGTAAACTTCTACACAGAGGCATGATCTATAAAAGCTGTAGTCATATGCATCAAGTAACTTCTTTAATTTATATTTTCCAAATTCATGTACATTTCTGAAGTTAAAGATATAAACTTTGTACTGCATAAAACAGTTCTCTCACAAATTCATATTAAACATTTAACATTAGTTCACCTTTTAAGAAATCACTGGTGGTTTCACACAGTGTCAGGCCCTGCCTTTCAGTAGGGTTAAACCATCAAGCAGTCTTTGTATGTCTTTCAGCTTGAATTACAAGACTGCAAAAATCTTATTCCAGAGACTGTTTATTACCGCACTGCTGCTGTTTCTTTTGGGCTTCCTGGGTCACTGGAGCCTGTAGGACAGAGGAGTACTTACAGACATTCACAGGTCAAGAAGTGTTGTGGGCCAACCTCATAGCATCCCCAGTACTGCACTTACTTTCCTTGATATTACTTCAGTCTGACACATTGTTCTGGCTTTCCTGTCCCAAGGAAGACTATACCAGCAGGCATTAGAGTAGGCTTCAGCGAGCCTTACATCTGTGTCACCCAGCCAGATACCGCTCAAATGATTCATTAAATCAGAACACAGAAAGTAACTTTACTTGAATGCCTTGGCATAAATCTTTTATCAACTATAAGAACAAATCTTTTGTCATTTTTACTATATATTCTTATGGTTGAATTGGTAATTTGTGAAACAGATCTTATGAATTTTTCAAGTAGTTTCTGTACATTTAAGGAAATGGTGACTCCTTTGATCAGAAGTTAAAATATGTTGCTGGTCTCTCCACATATGATGAGCTCTACATGTTTACATACCTAATGATGGTTTTACAATTGCTTTAAAATGTTATACAAGTAGCAGGCAGTCTTGGTAGCAATCAGTATAAGGCAAGTATAAGTCTCTTTACTTTTGCTTTCTAAGGGTCCACCCCTAAACAAATGAATTATATTTGATTCTAAAATAGAGTAGATTTTATTTCTAATATTATTCTAGTGAAATCATGAATAAAACTCCTGTTGACTTCAGTTTATTTTAAGGTTCTTGCAAGCTCATGATCTTCAGATTTTGAACAACTTCTCTCAGCCCCCTTTTAGGAGAGGATGTGGACGAACGTAGATGGGGTAGACTGAGTGTTACGATTGCTCTAAGATGGTGACCGAGTGTTGCATCATTTCCAGAAAGATTAAAACAGAACATTTAATTATTTGGAAATTCTAATAAAACTTGAATATTTAGTGGAAGCCAGAAGTGTGCAAGGAAAGGCTACTGAGGACCTGGGCAACCCCTCGCAGACAGGTCCTCAGATTGTGGCCCTTTCTCACCTCCTGCAGTCTGCCAAGGAGTCTGTCATATCTTACTAATATTGCTCATAAAAAGAATTGCACTCTATTAAAGTCTCCTCCGGCTTCCCCTTAGCTATACTGAGAGATGATACATGTTGCAGCACATGCAATGTCATTTAGATCACAGAGTTGTATGGGGCCTGAGTTAGAGTGACTCTTTACTAGCTTCTGTCACTGACTGCAGAGTTGTATGGGGCTTGAGTCAGAGTGGCACTTTACTAGCTTCTGTCAGTGAAAGAGGAGAACGTTTTCAGGATATGTATTCACAGGTCTTGACCTGGTCCCAGACACAGGATGGCCATTTTACTCCTAACACTAAACAGTGAAGTAGCATAAGCAACACCCTGGAAGAGGATAATACTTCCTCTTTCCAGGAAGATGAAAGACCATATTACAGGTACCTCAGGGTGCAAGAGGTATAAAAACAGAGACTACAGAAGGCAGAGTGAGCATGGGATTTCAGCGTATACCTCAAAAAAACCTAGTAAGACCTCAAGTATTTTTTGTTTTGTTTGGAAGGGGGCAGGGTTGTTTTGTTTAAAGTAGCAACTGTTGGACTTCGCTTGTACCCCATTTTGTGCATCGATATTGTGGCTCACCACTTCCTTCTCATATATGGCCAGCGTGTGTTGAGGACTCAAACAGTGTACCTAACTTCACAGTACACTTTCAGAGTGCCCCGACCCTTTTTTTTGTTACGCTACTGGGCAGAATAACTATTATCATTACTGCTGTATTAAATTCAAGTGTCATCACTGCTTAATACTTTGTATTATGTTGTGGTAATACTATCCTCTCTTCATTGAAGTGTCCATATTAACTCTTTGTAGGATACACCATGTTGGATAGTCATAACACCTAATTTTGGTGCTTAAATTAGACCTAGGCTCCCTTTATAGTCTGCTGGTCCTTGAGAAGCTATTAAAAGTACTTACGTGTCCTTGAGTCTATTGACAAAGAAACCTGGGCTTCTAATTCATTGCTCTGAAATAAAGTGCCTGAAACTAGATAGTGTGACTGTCTTTCTCAAAGTATAAAATGTTGGAGATCGCAATAGTGGAGCATTTCCTGTTCCTAGTGAACAGCTGGATTTATTCAATCAAATTAGCATATAAAGTATGAACAGCCAGACTCAGCCTTTATTGCAAATCTAGCCTGAGGCACTCCTGTCTTTACAACCAGCACATTCAGCAATGCCGTATCGACCTTCTTAGAGTATGCTTTGACAGCCAGAGAATTATGTTCAAATAATTACATTCATGCCTATCATGAAGTGGCTAAAATGATCTGTAGATCAAATTTCTTATTTATTTGCCATTTGTAATAATTTTGGCAGTGGTAGATTTTTGTGTCTTCCTGTTGCAATGTTTACTATATTAAGCAGATTTTTTTATTATAGTAATAGCTGCTTTATAATGTACTGTAAAACAGAATACAGAAGTTGCATCTTTTTCCCCCAAAGAACTTTGCAAGATATCAAATGAAGCAGATAGACAGATACAAATACAGTAGTTCAAGAAAGAATGGAGAAAGCAGTGGGAAGATTGGTTGCTATACAAGCACGGGCACTTGCTGTTTTTAGCGTATACCCCTGGTACAGTCTAATGGAAAGCTTTCAAGATATTTTCAGGAAATGTCTGCTTTCATCTTACTTATCTGAGCTGGCTGGTTCCAGTGAACTGTGGTCAGCTTCATTTACAAAGCCTATGCAAGAGGTTCCCCCACTAAAAGCTTTGAAGCATTTCAAAATGTTCTGGGATTAGTTTATAAGCATTTGGCTGCAGTATTTAAACAAACTCAAAATGACCATGATCACTAAACAAAAGCCATCATTATATGTGTGCAGCCACTTTAGATAAATGTGTCATGTGGAGATGTACTCTAGAGGTTTACTCTCTGGGAGATAACAGTTCAGGAACTGGAGAATCTTGGGTTCAAGTAGGCGTTTTTACTTCTTTGCACACGAGAGCACATCTATTGCTCAACACTGACATTTCTAAATTAGTTTAAGAGGAATTCAGATGTTTGCGGTATCACTACTGTGTTCTTGTCTGAAAATGTCTGAATGCTTGAAATGTACAAATCTAATGTACAAATACATATTGGGTATGAATCAGACTTGCAGAGTGACTCTTTTTCCTGCAGAAACCACATACAAGTCAGCTGGATGGTCGTTTATTTAGCAAGTCTGATGATAGAAGATTGGTTCCAGGTTTCAGCTGAGAAAAATCATTTCTCATTAAGCTAGAAATATAATTATTTCCCATTTTGAAACAGAGTTTGCAGGACCAAAAATCCAAAAAGTCTTTATTTTATAAAAGTGTTTGAATGTGGTCATAGTATTGTCTCTACTCTTGGTCTCTGTATCTATAGAGATATCTGTAGAGTTATATTATTGTGTGAAATAGAGAAATAGAGAAAAGGCAAGTTTGTCTTAACACATTAGAAAATTAAAAAGTATATTCTTCCCTTTTTCTCTCAATAATTTTAGGTTGTCATTTGGTGAGTGTGAACTCAAATAGGTTTTCTGTTAAGCAGTTCTTACTTATCAGCACTTTCTGAGCAAACTCAAATCTGTTTGTTTGGCATATTGTGGAGGAGATCAGTATTACTTTACTTCCTCCTAGCATGTTCCAGTATTACTTAGGAAACATATGCAGAACAGTATTTTGAGGGATTTGCAGTGTTGTTAATCGGGACATTAATCAGTGCCAACTTTAAAATTAAATATCGTCATCATTCATAAGGGAGAAAATAGAAGAAGAAACCTTAGCAGCTTCAAAGAAGGTGTTTCTCCTTATACAAAAAACCCATACTGTGTTGCTGTAGTGCTGTTACACAGGAAAGTGACACTGTGGATTTCATTGCAGCACACACAGCTGCAGTCTCTTTCCATTCTAGTATTTCTCATGGATAGCCTTCT